CTCAATTTTCTACAATGATCATTTTATTTTTACAGTCAGAACTATAAAAAAAATTAGAGATTCGGGCTGTGTGAGACTATAATGAACATCTTTTGTTCTATTTGTGTAGCACCATCCCTCCTCCTTCCAGTGAGAGTACATCAATTTTGGGGCACACATCCCGCTCCATTAAGAATGGCCTCATGATGTGGACACAGAAGACACCAATCCTGGCCCCAGGCGTGGGTATGTCACTTGGCCAATCATCATATTCTATCTGGCTTTAATAACTGGATCCAGATGGGCATGTCACTGAAGCCAAGTCAGTATTTTTATAGGAAATGTTCAGAAAGGCAGAAGAGCTTTGCTTACATTGGTACTAATCCTATATAATAAAAGCTTAATATGCAAATCGACTGGTCAGCAGGGGGGCGGGGCCGGCTAGTGGGTGGCGCCATGCCAGCCAAGGTGGGTGCCAGCGGGCAGAGGGAGGGGACCACAATCGAGGGGCAGCGGCGACTGGGGGCAGCAAAGGGGCAACCGGGGGGCGGGGCCAGCTGCTTACCGGCTGGTGCTGGCCCCCAATTGGCCTGCTGGTCGCCTCCTGCAGAGGGAGGCCAGACTGAAGCTTAGGCCCACTTCCCCTGCGTAGTGGGCCTAAGCCAGCCGTGGGCAAACTACGGCCTGCAGGCTGGATCCGGCCCATTTGAAATGAATAAAACTATTGAAAAAAAAGACCGTACCCTTTTATGTAATGATGTTTACTTTGAATTTATATTAGTTCACACAAACACTCCATCCATGCTTTTGTTCCGGCCCTCCGGTCCAGTTTAAGAACCCATTGTGGCCTTCGAGTCAAAAAGTTTGCCCACCCCTGGCCTAAGCCATCAGTTGGATATCCCCTGAGGGCTCCCAGACTGCAAGAGGGAGCAGGCCGGGCTGAGGGACAATCCCGCCCCCCCCCCCATGTGCATGAATATTTTGTGCACCAGGCCTCTAACATATATATATATGTATGTATATATATATGTGTGTGTATATATATAGCTAATATGCTAAGTGTCCCTCCCTCCATCCCACTGGTTGCTATGATGCACACTGACCACCAGGGGGCAGATGCTCAACGCAGGAGCTTCTGAGCTGCAGTGACTTGGCAGTGGCAGTTCTTGGGTGATGCACCCCGAAACCAGAGAGGAGAAAGTCCGATTCCTTGCAGGCCACACGATTCCATCTTTGGCCATGGGTTATGTTGTTGCTGGGGCACCGTTGGCCCGAATCTGGTTTACTGCACACTTGTGTTTGCATTCCACACCCTATACCAGTGATGACAAACCTATGACACGCGTGTCAGAGGTGACACGCGAACTCATTTTTTTGGTTGATTTTTCTTTGTTAAATGGCATTTAAATATATAAATATCAAAAATATAAATCTTTGTTTTACTATGGTTGCAAATATCAAAACATTTCTATATGTTACACGGCACCAGAGTTAAGTTAGGGTTTTTCAAAATGCTGACACGCCGAGCTCAAAAGGTTCGCCATCACTGCCCTATACTACAGAAACTTTGCAGAGTGCCCTCTTGCACTCCAGGACCCCTCTGGGGATGTTGGAAAGCCAGTTTCAGGCCAACCTGAGGGATCCCACCTGCCGGAGGGACCCCGTTCACTCTGCAGACGCCTTTTGAGCCATGGTGTCACCCCAGGTGCAGCTGGCCCTGGAGGGACTGTGGGGGTTTGGCTCCAGGACGTGTTTGGCCTGTCTCACCCAGGCCTGCCCCACCTGCCACCTTCTAATTAATTTCCTTTCAATGTGCACGAATCTGTGCACCGGGTCACTAGTGAGCTATAAGCCTAGAGCTGCTTGAGTGTACACAAGTATAGGGAAGCAATACAGGAAAGTACAGAGATTGGTCTCCAACAATGCATGCGTACACATACACACACACACACACACACACACACACACACACACACACACACATCTTTCAAGGCCTGATGACCTTGAGTTCCTGAATCTAGGGAAGTCTGGAACACTATCATTCCCGGACTTTCCAGTTATAAGAGCTGACACATTTTAGGTTTCTTGTTTGTTTGCTTAAGTCAGTTTGAGCTAGGTTTCTACAAGTTCCAATCAAGAGTTAATACAGTTAGCCATGGCCGGTTTGACTCAGTGGATAGAACATTGGCCTGTGGACTGAAGGTTCCCTGGTTGGATTCTGGTCAAGGACGCATCCCTGGGTTGCAGGCTCCATTCCCAGTAGGGGGCATGCGGGAGGCAGCCAATCAGTGATTCTCTCTCATCATTGATGTTTCTATCTCTCCCTCTCCCTTCCTCTCTGAAATAAAAAATAAATAAATATATATTTTTTAAAAAGTTGTTTTAAAAAAAGAATTAATACGATTATGAAAATAAAAAATATAAGGTATAATTCATGAAAGGGTCCAGGGCTATCACAAAACAAGGTACAGAACTGGGCCCACACACCCTACCTGAGTTATAAAACATTTCCATCATTGCAAATGTTTCTGTTGGACATGATCTAAACTATTTCATTCCCATAGCAGTTCACTCATAGTGCCTCCTAGATGCCTTCTTTTAGTACATAGTGGCAGGGAGTATTATTAAAAATAGCTAATAACCCTAAAGGCACAGGGACGGGAAGCCCTCTCCTGGACCTGGCATTAAACCTTTATGGATCTGAGGAGATTTGGGGTATCTCAAGAAAGGGGTTGGAGTGAGGGGACACTTAGATATTAGGGGAATGGCATTTTTCTAATAAGTACCCAAGGACTTTAATATTCTAACCGATATGGCTAACTTGGTGTGTACTGGCTGCACCCCAGTCCTGTTAGCGGATATTATAGTTTCTGCTCCCCCCCCCCCCCCCAGTGTGATCTGCTAGGGAGGGACGTTGTTTTGTGATTGCTGTAGGTCTTGTGCCTATCTAGGTGCTCAATAGAGGTTTGTTGAATGGTGAATATGAAAGACAGTCCAGCATTGTTTAATTCTCTATTCTGGTATTTTTTTTTCTGATAGTTTCCTGCCTGGAATTAAATTGCAATATGGTCTCTTTTCACCCACTTTTCTGAAAAGACTTTTTATCCTTTCCAATATCAGTTGATTGAAGAAGAAAATTGTAAATTTTCTCTCTCAGGCATATTGTTGATATTTTAACTCATAGTGATTTTTTTTTTCCTCACTACAAAATGGATTTTAGAAATAAATCAAGATCCCAGAAACTTTTGATTGCTTTGAGTGGTAGCTTTTATCTCTGCCATCCTAAGAGATATGGTCCAATGGCCCAGAACACAAACAGAGAACTTTGAATTTCAGTTCTCCCACAGCTGTATAATTTGAACCATTTGCTAGGACATTGGGGTGTGGGTTCCCACACTTGACTGTAAAGACTGTGGTAGGGCCCACATCTATCTATTAACAATGGTATTTTCAGTGCCTAGTGCCTCCTTGTTCACAGTAGAAACTGAAATACTTATTGAATAAATAAATTTATATAGAAGCAATCATACATATTGATCAATTAGGGATAATTTTTAAGCGATTAGCTTTAAAAATCATTTCTCTTAAACCAACTTAGGTCCTATTAACATCAAACAGGAGAGCTTTCAATATTAAAGTGGGGGGGCTGGTTAGTTATAATTTTTGGATGCTACTTTAGAGAAGAATTTAGGTGTATCGAAATTATTCAATTGCTTTTTCAGGTGGCACCTCCCATTTATTTTCCATTCTTAAGTTCTCTGAAGGGATGTTTTACTTGTTTATTAGACTGCATTGGGAAAGCTCATCAGACCTGAAGTCAGTCTTAAATGCCTGGGTTTCCCCTCTATTAGCTGTGGGGTCACTTTTGGAACTAAAATAATAAACGTATCTGCTCTACTTCACAAAGCTGCCACAAGCATGAAATAATATTCAGCGTAAGAAGGAACTAGAAAACCCTATACAGATACTGTTGTCGCCTTGGATAAAACACTTCCTAGGCAGTGGAACCTGGCTTAAGAGAATCATTTTACTGAGAATATTAAGAGAATAATTTTGCTCTTGGTACAGCTGAGAGGAACCCTGAGATCCTCAACCCTCTAACAGTCCCAGTCAAATAGAGAGGCAAAGAAACTGTATGCGAAAGGTGAGGGGAGGGAGGGAGGGAAGGAGAGAGAGAGAGAGAGAGAGAGAGAGAGAGAGAGAGAGAGAGAGAGAGAGAGAGAGAGAGACGCCCAGAGGGCTTAGCAAAGACTTTAGTGCAAAAGGGTTTAAAAACTCAGGCTCCCGGAGCAAACTTCCCAAGGCACCCCTCCCCCACGCTAAACCCCGTCCCAAAAATGGCTCAGCAGGAGCTTGTTGGGCGGAGGCCGCTCGGACCAATAGAAACCAACTGTGCTCATACAGGTTACGGAGCAGGTGGAGAAACTGAGCATAAAGAATCACATGCGCTCAGGCTCAGCCTTTCACCGCGGTGCCAGGTGTCCTCTTGGTCCCCTTGGGCTAACAGGAATGAAGAAGAATATCGAGGCCCAATCCCACCCCCTTCCCCAATCCAATCTGATCCCCGCACCACCTTCGCCGCCAGCAGCAAACAACCTGGAGCACGCTCGAGGGCCTGGCGGCCGACCTTTATTGTCTGGGGAGCACCTGCCAGGTGGCGGGCCGTGTCCTAATGTGAGCTGGGTGCCCAGCTTCACAAAGCGAGCCGGCAGCACCCCCTCGCCCGGGAACCGCCTCTGGCGGCCGGAGCGCAGCGCAGGGGAGAGAGGTGGAGAGAAGGGCTGGGGGTCGGGAGCGGGAAGCACATGCCGGCGTGCCCTCCTCCTCCCCGCGGCCTCAGCCCCCGGGGATTAAACGGGTCAAGGGAACCGGGGCCAGAAGCGGACGGAGGGAGCGAGATCTGGGCGCGAGGGAGGGCCGCGGGCAGGGCAGGCGAGGAGGGGCGCCGAGAAGGGGCGTGGCCGGCGCGCAGGGGGAGGGCGCTGGGAGGAGGGGCTGCTCTTCACGCTCGCGGCTCTGGGGGCTCGGCTTTGCCGCGCGCGGTGCACTCGGGCGAGAGCTGGAACCTGGGACGGAGCTCAGGTCCCAGCGCAGCCACCGCGATGAGAGGCGCTCGCGGCGCCTGGGATTTTCTCGGCGTCCTGCTCCTTCTGTTCGGCCTCCAGACAGGTGGGCGAGCGCGGCGGCCACGGGGCCGCGCCCCCTCCGCTGCCTGTGCCCCGGAGAGCTCCAACTCGCTGGGGTGTTTCGGGAGAGGTGGCTCCCGGCTCCCAGTGCCCGTGCGTTACAGCCGCCGGAAAGATTCGAGGCGACCCTGGAACTCTCCTGCGTCCAGCCTCGCTCACCTGCGCGAGGAACCGCCAGCCAGTGGTGGTGGGGGTGCTCAGCTGGGGTCTCCCGGGAGTGGGGGCAGCGAGCGGGGGGCTTAGGCGTCAGCGAGGTGCAGGCTGAGGGCGCAGGTTGCGTACTAGTTTGGGGTTTGCTTTTGTGCCGTGGGCGCGCGGGCGGGTCGGGGGTTCGCACCCAGCGTTATCTCCGCCGTGCGAGGCGCGGCCGTCGCTTCCTTTTGTTAAAAGTTGAGCGTGTGTGACCAGCCCACGGGAGCATCGGCCCGCAGGTTCTCAGCCGCGCCGAGGGGAAAGTTGGAGAGCCTTTTCTCTGCTCCGTGGCTGCTGCTTTCTGACCGCGGCCGTTCTTTGTGCCCCAGAGCTGGGGACCGACCCGCTGCCGTCTCTTGCTGGCTGCGTCGTCCGCGGACACGAGTCGGAGGCTGCGGTGTCCTGCTTATGCTTTTGCGCGGGGCGCGCGCGCGGCGGGTAGCTCTGGGGCCGGACCCCGCGAACCTGGAGGTGGCGGCTACAAGGACAACTTGGGCAGGGTGTATAGCAAGCAGCCGCTAGGTTGCAGACTTGGTGCTTTTGGAAATCCCATGCCGGAGGCTCGCCCCTTTCTACGGAGGTGCCGTTTCTTTCTTGCCGCGCGCCTCGGAGCGCGGGCCGCCTGCTCTCGGGGCGGGCAGGGCCATAGCGCTGGGACTCTTCGGTCCCTGACCCCGGCTGTCTCCGGCGCCCGGCCACAGTCTCCGGCCAGGCAGGCGGGGCTCTGCGAGCCCCTCGAATTGGTGTCTGCGACCTGTAATTGTAGGTCCGTTTTGTTTGGGGATTTTGAGATTTGCTACACCTCCCCCCCCCCCCCACGTGATACCTGTACTACTTAAGAGCCGCTTGAGGTCGGGGGTGGGGGTGGGAGGTGGAATGGAACTTTCAGTAAATCTTGGATGTTAAAGCTGTTGTGAAAATCCGGTTATATGCGCTTGGGAACTTGGGTGTTAAGGTGGAGGAGAAGGATTGGCAGGCTCCTGGGAGCCCTCGAGCAGATTCCTGCCCCCTCTAACCCTTTTCCTGGGTGTCGCTGGTGCGTGAGTCAGTGCAGGTCGCCCTGCCAACCCCAGGAAGACCCGCTCTCTCCCAGGTCACTTTTTTTTGTTTGTCTGTTTAACGTGAAGGCTACTCTGATGATGTAAGGTTAGAAAGTGAGTCTGAGCTGGAATTCCAAGGGCTCCAAAGGAAGCATCGCTATGAACTATTGTGGGGCTCCCTGGACTGCTGCTCAGTTTTCCCATAAAGTCTCAAGATGCAGCCTCCTGCTTCCCGATCTTGCAAGAAGGCATTGTGAGGGCTTTCCTGTGGGGGAAGAGGCCGTGCGTCTGGACCCTGGTGAGGTCGGAGGGATCCGGAGCCAGGGCTCAGATTCCGGAGGTATTTGACCGCCTAAGCTTCAAATGACACGTTTGGTCCTGACATCTTTGTGTCTTGGCATTTTAAATTTCAGTTAAGATACGTGAATTGAACCACCAGGAGGGCACTAGAAAGACAAACCACACAGAATAGTTCCCTTTTTAAAAAAACGAAATGAATTAATTGCTTCCTTCTTCCTCATAATTAGCCTGCGCCATCCAATAGATTTTGGCAAAGGGAATTTTAAGGTCTGCCTTGGGGAAGGAGGCGGGGGCAGTGTGGTGTAGTGACAAAGCCTTCTGCTGCCCTCTGGTTTTTCTTTTCTCGGCGAGGTATTGGCTGTGTGCCCTTGGCAGGTTGCTTCAATTCTGGGGAGCCCTCAGAGGACAGTGAGGCAGCCACATCCCAAAGGATTTTTTGGGTCTGGAATTCTCTTCCCGGGTTCTCGGGGTAGACTCTACACCTCCTCTGACCCCTTTCCCCGATTCCTTTGTGCCTCCTTGAAATTCCTCTGCTTCTCCTGGCCACAGGGACCATTTGGTGGTGTCCTCCCAGTCTACCTCTGGCTAAAGCAGGGACATGTGGCTTGTGTGCTGCCCTCTCCTCAGTCCACATGTGCCCATCTACAGTCAAACTCCACAGGATCCTTCATCCTCTCCCCTCCCTCAAGTATTTACAACTCTTGTGCCCAGCAGGATGAACCTGCAAGGAGTAGTGAATCATGCCTTCCCCTCCCTCCGCTCCTGCAGGTGTAAGACTATAGATCATCCCCAGCAGCTGCACACATTCTGGATGATTATCCTGTTGGGAATAATATGATGGCCTTATAAAGGGAACCAAATAAGTCATCTATCCCCACTCCGGCCTTTCCCAGTCACCCACACATTTGTTGTTATGGTTTTATAAATCATGTATGCCCTGTCATTAGTACACTTTTTCTGTGGCGTCTGAAATTCACTTTAGGCGTATGGTACATCGTTGTTGATCTACGATTGGGAACGGTGTGCCCAGCTCTGTGCTGGGGCCTTTCCTGACATCTCCAGTCCTCTCAACAACAAGCCCTTGGGGCATCATCCCTACCATTTTACAGCTGGAGGAACTGGCTGGGGATCAGTCAGTTCCCCAGATAATCAGCACTGAGGCCTGCGGTTAGTCCCTCAGAAAGGAAGATAAGCTGTCACTAAAATGATGGCATCGGTTTGAACCATTTTCCATCCCCCATTCCAAAAAACAAAAATGGTCTTAGTGTTCTAAACTTGCGGCATACTTGTGAAAAGTAAAACCCTAGTCAGGGGTAACGGTGTTGTGCCATTTACCCTGAATGAGCAAGATGAGCTGTGAGGGCAGGCTACCACTCATAGCTTTTATTCTCTAACAAATTCTGTGGGGGAAGCTGCCAAGTGTTTTGTGGCTTCCCTCGGAGCACGTTCATGTACAGATGTTGTTGTGGTGATGGATTTTGCTGCTGTTGTTGACAGCCACTAGAAGTTGCTCGTAGGATTTTGACTCATTTCCTCAAGTCTTCCCCCAGCTGATTAAGGAAGGACAGCAGGAAATGAGCTGCAGTGTTCCTAAATGGAGTTCTTGAAGCTGGCCTGCAGTGTGGGGACCCCTCAAAGGCAGTGAATTTTCTCCAGGATGAATTTAGTTTTAACAATCGACAGGTTAGGACATGGAAGTGCTTTATTTTGTTGTATTCATGTGTGGTAACTTTTACAAAAAGGAATTGAAAGACATTTGAAGGAATCTTAAGCAAAATTTCATATGCAATCTCTGTAACTTGGATTTTTTTTTTTCATGGCTGCAAATCCAGAGTGGGGAGGGGCCTACAAGGGAGTTACCGCAGGTAAAGGTTTGTAGGATAAATCATTGTTGAAAGGAGAGGGCACTTGTAAGCCTGGCTTAGCCCCTCTGATTTCTGATACTTTGGACATGAGACGGCTCATCTTTGGACTTTAGACTCTTAATAAATAAAGAGAAGTTGTAAGCTGATAGCCCATGGACATGTTTTGTTTGGCCTACATGATGCTTTTTAAGAAAACATTTAAAAGGCGATATTTAAAAAATATGGAGAATTTATATCCAAACTGCCCCTTTAGATAAGACCTGTGCTCTTCAGGTTGCTCAAGTATGTCAAACTTGCCGCCGGCTGCTGCTAAACGAGGCATGTAGGCCCCCCCCCTCCGCCCCCCTAGTTTGACATGCTTGCTCTAGGCCAGTGGTCTGCAAACTGCGGCTCTCGAGCCACATGCGGCTCTTGGGCCCCTTGAGTGTGGCTCTTCCACAAAATACCACGTGCGGGCGCGCGTACAGTGCGATTGAAACATCGTGGCCCATGCTCAGAAGTCGGTTTTCAGCCTGGGCGAGTCTATTTTGAAGAAGTACTGTTGATATTTGGCTCTGTTGACTAATGAGTTTGCCGACCACTGCTCTAGGCAGTACCACTCTTTACTGCCAGTCCTTGGGCGTTAAGGCATTTAGCTTGGGCCCTGGTAAGCCCAGGGGTACCACACAGCTCCCTAGTAGAAGGAGCACAGGCCCGAGGAGTGGAACAACTTTGAATTAGTCTGCTGGCTCTGCAGCTGCCAGTTTTGTAGCTATAGAACAAGTTGCTTAACCTGCTGAACTTCACTTTTTCATCCTAGTTTTTTAGCTGTGTGACTTTGGGAAAGTTACTTAACCTCTCTGTGCCAGAAATGTGTTGCTACATATAAAGTTTTTAGAATGGTGTTGCCCGGCAGGCTCATAGTACAACCTTAATATGTGTCAGCCATAATTATCTGCAAAATAGGAATTATTATTATCCCTAAGATGGGAATAATGTCTTCACTAATATGATTGCCCTGCAGAGTAGAAAGAGATTGTTGTAAAGATGCTTGGCACAGGATCTGGGATAGGACAGGCACCTAACACATGCGTAAACTCCTCTAGTATGTAGAATTTGACTGCTTCTCTTTATAATCCTCGTACGCAGGTACCAATAAGTACTAACTTGACAGCTTATAAAACGGAACAAACTTTAATTTTTGCCTTGAGTTTTATACAGCTTTTGACATAACAGTTGGGAAGCACTAGTTTTAGAGATTGAACAGATCTCGGGGTGGGGGAACCAGAAGATTTCTCCAATGAAAACATTTATACCTGGTGATTTTTTTCCATTCATCTTATGCTTACATTTTGGTTATGACACACTTGTGTTAGATCTCTTCCATTGCCTACCTTTCTGTCAGCTAGATTTTCAACAGTTTTGCAAATTTTAAAGTTTAAGTTGAATTGATATTTAGGGCCAGTGGCATTAGAGTTAGTTAACAGCTTGGCCTCTGAAATCGACAACCTGGGATTTTATGCGGTTCCACCACTTGCCGGGTGTGTGATCTGTAAAATGGGCATGGTGGCACAGGGCTACTGAAAGGAGTAGACAGTTACCCACAT